TGCCTTCTTATAGCTGCAGAGAATATATCAACTTCACCCTTACCTGGATGAGCAGAGCCTGGCAACAGTCATAGTCACACATGTATTGGTAACAACCAGACTGGACCATTGCAATGCACTATATGTGGGGCAGCCTTTGAAGACGGTCCAGCAACTGCAAGTGGCACATAATTGGGCTGGGCGGCTGGTAAGTGGTATTACGCCAGTTCTGAAAAATTTGCACTGGCTGCCGGTTGCTGCTCGGGCCCAATCCAAAGTGCTTACCTTGACATATGCAGCCCTAAACAGCTTAGGACCTGGTTACCTAAAGGACCGCTTTCTTCCATACAAGCCTACCCATCCTCTAAGATCAGGCCAGGAGGCCTTTCTGAAGGTGCCATACCTGAAAGAGGTGAGGGGGTGGCATATCAAAATTGGGCCTTCTTTCCTGTTGCTCCCCCAGCTTTGGAACACCCTCCCTATAGAGATCCACCTGGCTCCAACACTTTTGGCTTTTTGGCGCCAGGCAAAGACCTTTCTGTTGAGCCAGCATTTTAATTAAATAGTATCCAGGATCTATTAAATAGCAGCAGGATCTATTAATGATAAGTTGACTGTTTTAATATAGGGTATTATTATAATATTGGGTATTTTTAATGGTTTTAGTGTTTTTCTAAAGTTTTAATACTCTTGAACACCGCTCAGAGACCATTGGTAATGGTGCAGCTAAAAAATCTTGCAAATAAATAAATAAAATAAATAAATATAATGAAGAAGCTGTATGAGATCTCATACTTCACCTAGAAAATCCAAAAGCCTGTCTTTTTCATCTCTGAAGTGTGGTATCTAGAGGTTCAGTCTTGTTTGGCAATTTTTTCCCTATAAAAGCTTTTATAGTGTATCATTCATTCATTCATATGCCACTTTTCTCCTAAAGGATCCAAAGTGGCCTAAAGTATTAAGAAAGAAAAAAACAGGTTGCTCTGTTTCCCCGAAAATAAGACCTAACCTGAAAATAAGCCCTAGTTAAGTGAAACCCCACCCTCCACCCTTGTGCAGCATTGTGCATCAACCAGAAAAAAGATGACATGACTGTAAAATAAAACATCCCCTGAAAATGAGCCCTGTCTTATTTTCGGGGAAACACGGTAAAAGCCAAATAATAAATTATTACAATATTTAAAAAGTATTAAACCAGTATCATATTAAAACATAATAAGAACAATACTAAAACCACAAATAAAACACAGAATAAAATGCTCCCTTTAAATAATCCCCTTGGTCAAACCAGTCATTTAAAGGAAAACTTGCCTGAAGAGAAAAGAAGGACAGCAGATGGGACCAGTCTAGCCTCCTGTGGGAGGAAGTTCCAAAGTCTGGAAGCAACAACACCCTCTCCTGTGTCCCCACCAAACATACCTGTGAAGGTGGTGTGACCCCGAGAAAGGCCTCTCCTGGTAATCTTTATACCCATGTAGACTCATAAAGGGAGATATGGTACTTTAAATAGCTTGGACCCAGGACGTTCAGAGCCTTATAGGTTAAAACCAGCACTTCAAATGGAAACAGATTGACAGTGTAGTTTTTTATTCCTTTTTTACAATGCTTTGGTTGCGTGAACTTTGCTCAACTTATTCTGTCCGCTATAGACATCTCGGTCATTTTATGTATTGCCCTCAGTTCACTGTCGACTGTGCAAATTGTTAATGAAATTAGGTCCAAGTGAGAGACAAACCTCAGACATTTTAAAATGTCACTGAGATCATTGAGAATCAACCTATTCCCCTGTCCAACTACATTTCCCTAAACCATATCTCCTATCAGTCTTGAATATCTCCAGCTATTCATGGCTTTTTAAACAAAGGATACGAAGAGGCAAAAAGCCCTATTGTTTGTTTAGAGATGGAATCAGTATTCTTTGGACCCAAGCCATCATACTCTATATTCTCTGCAAATTAATTTCAAAAGGGCCCACTATTTCTGCCACCTTTCTCTCTCTATTCCTCCTCCATCCCCATTTTAAATTTTCAAAATCTGAGATACTTTTCAAAGTGTCTTAGGCTTTCCTTTGATGTACATATTTTTTGAAATTACCAGTTACCATACATATTCTTTGAAATTACCATACAAGCAGAATGGATTTTGATTTAAAATCATGATTCAAATTGACTTAAACCATGATTTAAATTCTGGTCGTGATTTAAATCAACTTGATTTGTAAAAAAATTTCCAAGCTGCAGAACTTACAATGATTACCCAGTTAATATCTCTGAGTAAATTTTGTAACTTGAATATGGAATTTATATTAGGACTAAATCTAGCAAAAGTATGGACTCATACAATATATCTCAGAATGTGCTGTGACTTTCCTACATTTAATGACTTTATTTTTCATTCCAGGCGAAGTCTCAATTACACTAGAGGATGAGGAAGATGTTCCTGAAAATCCACTACTCTTTATTTCTCACTGCAGGCCTATTCAGCTAGGTAATGAATGAACAGAAATGGGCTGTTTCTCTTTGCACCATTTCAGAAGGATTACAGTAATTTAAAACTGCAGTGTAAGGAATCAAGCTAGCATGTCAGTAAAGCTATGGGGCTTATCGCTAAGATTTCATATTACCTTCTCAATTCCCATTTCTGCAGTCCTGGTCTTAGCTTCTAGTTAAATTATCTGTTTCATGAATTAACACATATCATGGCTAAAAATAAGAACACTAAATGTGTAGAGGAATTAGAATTAAACTAAAGGTACAATTCACTGGCATGCATTTTTGTATTGGTCTCCTTTATCCAGCTAGCTCACAGCATTATGTTACATTTCGTTGCTTTTCTTTATTTATGTTAGTTTTTAAAGAAATGTATCTTGCTCAGCATTGTTCAACCAACACAAACTTGCTTTTCCAACACTGATGTCTATGTGTTCCTAAGTTTCAAAATGCAGGAAAATTTCCAAATGAGGGGTAAAAGAAAAACACGCCTCAGTTTACTTACCGTATTTTTCCATTTATAAGATGACCCAATGTATAAGATGACCCCCCGCTTTTCTAACCCCAAAATTAGAAAATTTGATCCTCGCGGGGCTTAGGATGTGGATAACACAACCGTGAAAGGGCTGCACGATTGCACCCCTTTGATCCTGAAGGCTTTTCATGGCTGCTTTACCCGAAGGGAGCCTTCCCTTCCTTTTTGCTAAGCCCTGTGGCTTCGCAAAAGGAAGGGAAAGCAGCTGCCTTCCATGTATAAAATGACCCTCAATTTTTTGTCTAATTATTTAAGGAAAAAGTGTAGTTTTATACACAAAAAATACGGTAGCTTACCTGTCATATATACTGTTTTCACACTGTAAGTATATGATAGGCAATTCTGAGCTCTTGACGATCATAGGAGAATCACAACACTGCTGATAATCTGCTATCTTAAACAGTTATTTTGTTTTAGTGATACTGACCTTATAAGAGAAGTTTTAAAATTAATCTTATACGCAAACTACACTGTCAGCTATAATTTGTCCTCTGCCTTATTTCCATAGTTTCCTAAGCATTCTTGGGAATGAAGTAAAGTTAAATGAAAATTCTCTCTCTTACCATCTTTACCTGATCCTGACCCCACCCTACCCAATTCAGGTAACACATATCTGTCTTTCTCTCCTATCCTACCTGATGCAGGTAACTCAACGGTAATACTAGACACTTCAAAAAATCTGCCTTTCATTCCATCTGTAGCAAACGAAGGAGGAAAGCACTGGACTGTTAATGAAGTTAGAGCTCTAATACGTGTGTGGTCAGACAAAAGCATCCAGCAACAACTAGAGGGAACAGTGCGAAACAAAAGAATATTTGAACATGTTGCTGCTAGACTCCAAAAATTTGGGATTGAAAGGGACTGGAAGCAATGCAGAACAAAATACAAAAATCTGAAACATGAATACAAGAGTGTTAAAGATGCCAGATATTCAGGCAACACAAGCAAGAGTATGAAGTTTTTTAGAGAGCTGGATGCTATTTTGGGACATGGCAATGCGGACAAAAGCAGCAGATTAGATCATGGCAACAGTGAGAAGCCTGTACAATGGACGGACACGACGACAGAAAAGAACTTCAGAGGTAAGAGTTCTAGCTAGTGACATGGATTTTGAGGCTACTTTTACAGTACTGTTCATATTTAAATAAAGCAAAACATGCTGCTTGTATACCGCCCAATAGTGCTTCAAGCACTCTCTGGGCGGTTTACAATTTAATTATGCAGGCTACACATTGCCCCCCCCCCAGCAAGCTGGGGACTCATTTTACCGACCTCAGAAGGATAGAAGGCTGAGTCTACCTTGAGCCGGCTACCTGGGATTGAACCCCAGGTCGTGAGCACAGTTTTGGCTGCAGTACAGCGATTTAACCACTGTGCCACGAGGGTTCAATGCATTAGGTGTAATATATAGAGCAAAGTTTAACACAAACAGTTTCTTTAAAAATTAAGTTCAAAGAAAACAACCTGAATGCACAACTCAGTAAGGAATACTTGGGTGTTTCCTGTGTTGTAATTAAAAATTATGCTCCATGAAGAAATATGTGAATAAAACAACAAACCTGGTGTTTTGAGAAGTTAGTAAGTGCCACAAAGTGCAGTGAGACGGTGATAACATAAACACAGGCGCATGTAACCCTACATTTATGCAGCAGAGACCCATTTCCCCAGGGAAGCAACATGGACTATATGCCTAACTTTAGCACCCATTTCCCTACCACCCGACCCTGTGTAATGCAGCGCAGCACAATCTGACTTGCTGCCATAAGTGCTACTCATCAGCTATTGACTGTGGCCTACCAGGAGCTTTACAGATGTCTTGTATTTGGTGCTTGCCTGGAATTGGCAAACCGTGTCTATGTGTTTTTCTTTTGGCAAGACAGCACGTGTGGTGTTTGAACCATTTGACTAAACTGATCACAGATTGTGCAAAACTGCAATAGTTTCAATATATTCGCGAAGGCTTTCACGGGCGGGATCTAATGGTTGTTCTGGGTTTTTCGGGCTCTTTGGCCGTGTTCTGAAGGTTGTTCTTCCTGACGTTTCGCCAGTCTCTGTGGCCGGCATCTTCAGAGTTTATTGGCATGGTAAAAATTCATTCTCAGACCAGCTCTCTGCTCCTTCTAGAAAAGTGGCCTCATCATTAAAATTGTCACCATATTCATTTTTAAAAGATCATGCAATAAATATTTATATTTTGATACTAGTGGACATTTGCTGGAAAGAGAATCATATGCCTGGATAACTTTCATGTGATTGGACATTCATATGATCTTATGGTTTAATCAAATAGAACAAACACTCAAATCATCTTTTAATACTGTGATTTTACAAAACACTATGTTATAATCTGTGCCATTTTACACAGCATTACATCAAGATGCTGATATAAAGGACTTACTTAGCAATACAGCAGGAGACCTCAGGCTCACAGAAACAAGGAAGGCAACAGATGCAGGTGAATACAAATATCCTGTACCTAAAGTCCACATGCAAGGTATAAGATTTCTTTCCTATGTACTGTAGTTCAAGGGTTTTTTATAACCATTTTTTTGAAATTATTGCTAGCACTCCACAGCACAGTAGAGAAAGAGAACTATGTAAATGGTCATTTGGAAGAGCAAGTTACCACACACACAAAGGAAGATATAAAAGAAGAAGCGACTGATGTAGGTGAGTAGTGTGCAGCCGTAACTTGTTATGAGGTAGGTTATGGAATATATGAGAAAAAGTCTCTTAGACAATGACATGGAATTGTGGACAATCAAAAAGGGGGTTCAGTAAGTGGCCAACGATAAAGTTGGCTGAAGTGGCTAATACTAAGGTGAAAAGGGGCAGGAGATGTATATATTTCAGTATTTTATATTCAGAGGCTAAAATCCTCTTGCAAAAATCTGTGCATTCAAGGGGAAATCACAAAAGTGGTTTTCATATTTTTCTGTCTGTCTACTATACCAGTTTGATGCATGATCAGTTGCAGAGTCTTTATAGACAGCTATCATGACTGCGTACATCTCTTAAGCCACTACTGGTTTGGGCTGTGTGATTCCACCAGGTTTCTGGTCAAAGTGTTTGACAGTCATTTTTCTTTGTTTGCCTCTAAAGCAGTTATATGTTGCACTATCTTGCCTATGTACATTAGGCCTTGGAAAAGTTACTTTTTAAAATAATAAATCCCAGCATCTCCTAGCCAACAAGCTGTGGCCCATAATTCTAGTCTGTTGATACCATGGAAAACTGTAATGCTGACTCAGGGTGGTAAAAGATATAACCCAGCATGCCTGAAACATACTAAGTTAGGGAACAACGTTCTAGCATGAATGTGTACATGCAATATTCTATGGTATTTTCCCATATGAAATTTCTAAAGTATCCAATAAGAATATAGCCTCTCTTCTTATTAACCCCTCACTTTAATACAGAGATGTGAAATATATGTACATTTTGATACCAAAAACATGTATGTATGTATATATGTATGTATTTGTTTATTTGTTTATCTATTTGTTTACTTACTTACTTATATATGTACTTACTATTACTGCATGCACACTATTCTGGGCAGTTCACAACAAGGTAAAATAATCAGACATATAACGGTAAACATACACATAGAGTAGAAGGAATAAAATCAATTAAAAAAAGAAACCAATGGTATGAAGGGACATTATCTCTGTGATGATATAACATGTACCAACCATTCCGAAGCTATGGAAATTTGGGGAGACAATCAAATATTAGTCACACAACAATCATATCAAATTTACTTTGACCATGAAGGGATGATTGCAATGAACACATTAACTTTGCTGTGTTTATGAAGAATAAATTCCACTGCACAACATGTCATCTGGTTCTGTCTGAAACCCTTATTTACATTTTAAAACATTTTGCAAGCACAACAAGATTGTAGGATAGTACTTGTCTCCCAACGCATTACTGCAGCATCTCTGTTCTAAAACAGGCTCCTGCTACCACCAGGTCTTAGCCAGCAGAGGGTGACAAATTACTTTCCAAATAATATACAGTATAGGAAATTGTATAAAGCAGTAACGATTTGTTGAGGAGCTCTACTCTTCCAACATACGGCCAACCTATGGGCTTGATAGTTGCACATGAAGTGAGTTTTAAATTGATGAGAGAAATGTGGATTTTAATTTTAAGCACAAAAAAAGTATTCATACTGTCAGGGAACAAATAAAAATATTTGTTGTATATTAAATAGATTTCAAATATTCAGCAATAATTGCTTTATGTAGTTAGTGCAGCAAGTTGGAAATAATCTTGAGGGTTTTTGAAAAAAGAAATGAAGCACTACAGCTACTAATCACATTTTCTTGCTCAATATTTGCCAACGGTATCATCTAACAGCCCCAGAACCTGATTTGAAGTTAGATAATGCAGTCAGTGACCACTGCACAACCTTGGACATTCACCTCTTTGTTGGGGCAGTCTTCATAGCTGTAATTGAGAGTATGCCTTGCCACATCCTATTCCGAGGACAGGATCACAAAACAGTGAAAAACCAATTGCATTAAAGGTCACCACTCCACCCCCTTTCAAACAGAAGAAATATAGCAAAGAAAAAAAGCTAACATTGGGAATTCAGTATGATTACCCTGCTAAAACATCTTCGTTCAATTAGTTCTTTTTCCAAGAGAATTCTTAATTGTTATGTGTGCTAACAAAAGAATATGACTCTACACAAAATACTTTGGGTTTTATATTGGTCCTTCTTACTCTTGCTGCAGTTTGCACAAATGGAGTAGCACAAAAGGTGGCACAGGTAAAACCCTTAAATCTTTACCAGAAATGAAAGAAAAGGTAGAGTAGAAAATCCACTTTCTAAAATGGGCACAAATTCTTTCAAGATCAGAGTAACGCCATAGGTTGTAACAAAGCCATGTTTGGGAAAAAAAAACCCTCTGGACAAGCTCACTCACTCAAGGGACCAACCAACAAAAGTGAATGGTTAGAGATGGGAAACCTTTGAGCCACAACACTCAGAATCACATATGGAACAGGATTGTTGCCCTGTGTATGTTTCTCACCATCCCATTCTGCCCAACTGCTTGGTTTAGTAGTGGAAACAGCTGTGTGAGGGCAGGACACAGGTTGTGCATGTGTGAAAGAGACATGTAGGCTTTGCATTCTCTTTACCAGCCTGACCTACTAGCTGCATGACAATGGCAAGAGAGAGAAAAGGCAAGGGATTCTTTTTTATATATCTCTTCTTGTAGAAATATGTCTAAATTTCATGTGCTGGACTCAATTGACCACAATATAAATTCATATATGTAAGTACAGTATCTGCCTCAAAAAAACTTGCAATTTAAAATAATCTAGTGATTTAACCCACTACTCTGCATCACTGTACTTTTTATTGTATTTTTATTATTCTGCTGTATTGTAGGTTTGTGAGTTTTAACCTTGTGAAAACTGCCCAAGTTGTGCTTGCACTAATTGGGTAGTATATGCATTTAATTTAATTTAATTTACATACATACATATGTACAAATTGCATGCTTCTTCCAAACCCTAGACTTTTATGCTAAATTGCTAAATTATTTTCAACCATCAAAACATGTCCAGTCATACTTGGTGGCAATATAATGCCATGTTTCTGACGTGGTGAATGTGAGCAATGCCATATATCTAGCAATTAGCTGTTTAAAAGTTTAGCTCCATCACAGTCATGAGCCAGCATGATTTCAAAAGGTACTGTTGAAGACAAGTGAGCTGTACCATCATTTTATCATGAGACCGGCCCATGATAGTTTGCTACCTGAATGGTGAATAGTTACCCCTGCCTATCCAAGGCAAGATGAACAGTACTCAGAATCAGTCCAGGTACATGGGTTAAAAATTACTTGAACACCTCTTTCTATTCCTGGCAGCAAAGATACCATAATTAGAATTCCTGGATACCTCAGTAGTTTAGAATATCTGGCTGTGAAGACAGAGGTTTGGGAGTTTGATTCCCCACTGTGGCTCCTTCACAGGGGCTGGACTCCATGATCCATAGGGTCCCCTCCAGCTCCACAGTCTTAAGATTATTAAATAACATGTTGCTGCCCTTTCAGGATATCCCAAATCTACTGTTTGAGGAAGTTGCCTCATTTTATCTAACAGTAGGGTAAGCCTTATATTCTCTATCCAAGAAAAACACCCACAAGCTTACTCAAGGAAATGTCACATCATAGTAAGCTAACCAACTTTATATATATATATATATAAAGCATGCTGCTTATATACCACCCCACAGCACTTCAAACACTTCTGGGCAGTTTACAATTTAATTGTGCAGGCTACACATTGCCGCTCTTCCCATCCCAGCAAGGTGGGTATTCAAATTTACCTATCTTGACAAGATGGAAATCTGAGTGAACCTCGAGCCAGCTACCTGGATTGAACCTGGATTGTGAGCAGTTTCAGCTGCAGTACTGCAGTTTAATCACTGTGCCATAAGGCTCCTAAGAAATAGAAAAAGCTTGGACATTTATTCTGATCTACCTGAAGGGCATAATGCTAGGGGAGTGTTCGGTGAGATAGGACAGCATACATCAAATACATATTGTTTTCTTATATTAGAAGGATAGAGTACAGTAGCTGGTATCTTAATATATAATAGTTAAAACTTTTGAATCTTTGGACATCTGCATTTTATCCTCCAAGCGACTGTTTTTCAGATGATTTGGTTATATGAAGCATATGAACTTCGTACACTACATTTCTAAAGTCTACTTTGAATTTCAGCAGTCCCTGAGGATGACGACTCCATTAATACTACTCTAGAAGGCACAGAGTTCCCACACATAAAGCAAGAGCCAATTGACATAGGTGAGTCAACATGTGAATTTGTAAACTATTTCATCCTCTTTACAGAATGGAGGTTTCAGTTTAGAAATATATACCCTTCTGTTGGGGATTCCCTTTTTGTTTTATTCAGCCTATACCAGGGTGATTAGAAGAAGGTAAATTATGATCAAGCAATAAACCACTGGGCAATCTGAGATAGATCAATAAGGATTTCTGACTCCCGGTAGCAGGAACAAAATAACTGTCACCCAATGAAATAAAAACATTGTGTTTGGGGTACAGTATCAGAGCTGAAGTATTAGGTAGAAGACCTGTTAACTTAAAATTTGTTCCGATGGTCAGAACAAACTGCTCGTTTCATAATTCTTAACTTCCTTTTGCACTCGTCTCTGGTGAATATTGAGGCTAGGTAGATCAGATGTCCACCCTCCTCTAAGCTACACAATACATTCACAAGGCATCTCTAATTATCTAATTATCCTAGTAATAAAAAACCTTTTCTCTATGAAGATTTCACACAATTAGTTCCTACAAAATTGTGGATGGGGTGGGTTCCAGCCAACATATCTACTATCTAAAAGACTTTTATTACTTAGGAGCAAGCTTTTAAAAACACACACAAGCCATGCTTTCCCTGCATCTAGACAAAGGACCTTCATGGCATATATTCAAGCACTATAAACAGAAAATATTTCCCAAGACAATGCACTGACAAGAACATCCTGCTAGAGCTGGGGAAGCATCTAATTCCAGGGGGGGACAAAGCATATAGCCTGCAGGATGCCTACATGCCACTGCCCCCACCATCCCTGTCAGAAAAATCCAAGTGCTTCTGGTGGGAAACAGCATGCATGCATCCCATGTCCCATGCTTCTCACCAGGATCACTGGGATTTTTTTTTTGTTTTATTTTTGGGCAGTGGCGGGGAGAGGGTGAAGCTCCTGACGGGTTTTAGGAGAGGCAAACGCAATCTGGTTCAAAAACACTTGTTACAATATTTACACCACAAATCTTGTAGCTTCAAAACTGTCGGTTTTTAAAGCAATTGCTAGGGTATTTAGAAAGTAATAGCTCTCCTGCTTATTTGGAGTCAATAATTATATTTTAAGCTACTGAGATAAAACAAGTAATGTATTTCGGAGAATAGTGCATATTACATTAGATTGACCAGTCTGAGTGACAATGTCCAGATGTGTCCCTCTTTTCACTCCTTTCAAAAAAGTGTACTGGTGATTATTATGTATGTCCTGGAGTACACAGCAGAGAACAACTTGATTTTAAAACATCCAATCTGATTTCTTTAGGTGGAACTGAAAACAAATAGTATTGTTTTTAACAATTTTACACACACACACACACACACACACACACACACACACACACACACCACACACACACACACACACACCATGTCTTTGAGTATAATTTAGTGTTTTAATTGCATTACAATCCTTACCTCAACCATTCTAATGTACATCTCAAAACAGGCCAAATTACTTTTTTTCTGGGAGAATTCACATCAGTGTAGGAGATCTGCAGCAAAGTATTTTCAACTCAATGCTGCACTGAAAAAGCATGACTTCTGTGAAAATTTAAGGATGTAGCCACATCACATGAATGCCATGGTGAATTCCCATATAGTAAGCTAATTTAAGTGATAAGAACATCATGTGAATACTGCTCATTCTGTAAAGTGCCTATTCTCTTCCTGGCATGTCAAAACTAAATGAGGATGATAATGTGCATGATGAACACAGCGGCATGTGTGTTCCATTGACAGAAAAAAAAGAAGTACTTCAGAAAAGGGACTGAATAAGAAGGAGCACTATAGTCGTGCCTCGCTTTACAATTGCGATCGCAAAACGATGGTCTAAATGGGGTTTTTTTTGCTTTGCGATGATCGGTTCCCTGCTTCGGGAACCGATTCTTTGCAAAACAATGATTTTAAAACAACTGATCGGCGGTTTCAAAATGGCCGCCGGGTAAACAAAATGGCTCCCCGCTGTTTTCTGGGACGGATACTGCACAAGACAGGCAGCGAAAACGGCTGCCCTATGGAGGATCTTCGCTGGACGGGGAGTTTTGACCCCATTGGAATGCACTGAATGGAGGGTTTTTTTTCCGCTTTACGATGTTTTCGCTTAACAGCGAGTTTCCTGGAACTGATTATTGCTGTTAAGCGAGGCACCACTGTACTGACATGCTGTGAACTTCAGAACAAGCTAGGCGCTTTTCTACTCTCTGCTCTATCAGCAAAGGCCAACCGAAATATATGGGAAATGGTGAGGCAAGCACTAAATTTTACCAAGAATGCTGATGTGTGAAGTGTCTTTTGGGGCATTATTGCAGGGAAAAATCATCAGGATTAAATGATTCCATACATCTCATTCCACACAATGTCATTCTTATTTTTCCTCCCTCATCAGCTGATCCCCCCACAAACAAGAGTGTTCTTGGAGAGAAGAGCCTTAGTTTAGGAGCAGAATCTCTGAACCTCTTCCTCCTACCAATCCTTCCTTTCAGAAAAATTGAACCAAGTTATCATTTGCCAACATATAATGACTTGTGGCCCTAACTCAGAACCAGGTAAAGTAAGTCTGTATCTGTCGCTGCTGAGTTGGGAGAATACTTGGGAAGCCCATCTTAATTTTTTTCATAGAAAAAATGCCAAGCTAAAACAATACTTCAAATGGATTAGTAGTACATATGGGCAACACTGCTCCTGTTGTGCCATATAAGAAGAACTTGTAAAATTTACTTGTAGCAAGATCTTCTAAAAGTAATAGCTCTCACCAAATGCAAGAGCCCTTAGCCTCACTTTTCAGCTTATAATAATGGTTTGGTTTGCATGCAGAGCAGAATGAAGTGGGGAGCAGAGTTCAGAGATGCTAGAGTGCATAGAGTCATATTACCATGTAGACTGGGAATCTTATTTTTGAATGTTTCCAGAGACATACAGAGGGAAAACTAACACAGCAGGGTGATGGTTAGGCCAGAAGCTGTCTCACTAATGTATTAGGTTTTTTAACTTGCAATGTGTAGGTTCGTTTGTTTTAATTAGCACAGGAGAATCATTCAAACAGGGATCTTCCACCTACAGTCTCAAGTGGTCAAGCCATTCTGCCATTTCAGGTTTCTGCTCATGTATTTGGGGGGGGGGGGAGAAGCAAGTCAACCATTTTTCTCATCTCTTAACAATTGTGCAACGTAAGATATGGTCACCAGATACAATTCATACAATTCACTCAAGCTAAGATATCATCATTCCCATGGGGGGAAATGCTCAAATTATGTGTCTCAACCACCAATTGCTGTTTTGAATACCATTTGCCCAAACTACTTTAGGATACTGTATAGAAAAAGATAAAATTATGTTTCTGTCCACCATGAGCTATTCAATTATTATTTCATGTATTGCATCAACATTGAAAAGGTGGAGCACCACAGCCCTGTCTACCCCTTCAGTTTTGTTGCCCTTGTGCACATGGAATTTACCAAGTCAGAAGCACAGATCTTCTGCTATTTCTGGACAGTTCTGCTTAAGTCACAGTCCTGCTCTTTGCTGGATTCCAGTTAATATGGAAAAATCCTCAGAAGTAATAGAAGCTCTCCCTCTTCAGCCATTTGCCTTCCATAGGAGAGCAACATAAATGATGGCAGAGCTGTGCAGAATTAGGGTGCTCCTGCTGCTTATGTGCTGATTTAACACAAGAAAAAGAAACTGAATAAGGTTGTAATGATACTATAATGTATAATATAGCCTTATTGGTTTTATTGTTTTTAAATTTGTAAACCGCCCAGAGTAGATCTTTGGTCTAGATGGGTGGGATAGAAATCAAATGAATGAATGAATGAATGAATGAATGAATGAATGAATGAATGAAGATAGAAGGGAGGGGACCATACTATTGGTAACAGTGAGTCAGTCCTTCCAGGAATATCTAAACTCAAGGTATTTTTACATCTGAACTCAAGTATGCCATTTATAGCGATGTTTAGATAACTGTTACATCAGCTGCACATTTTCCCCCTACTGAAACACTGGAATTTTGAGAAGGAGCAGAATGGTAGAAAGGAAGCAGCATTATAAAAGGTGGTGGAATTATGAGATATAAGCACTTTAAGTTCTGAAGAAAATACAGTGGTGCCCCGCATAGCGACGTTAATCCGTTCCGGATTAATCGTCGCTATGTGGAAACATTGCTAAACGGAACGGAAAAACCCATAGGAACGCATTAAACTTCGCTTAATGCGTTCCTATGGGGGATAAACTCACCGTTCAGCGATGTTCCTCCATAGGGGCGGCCATTTTCGGTGCCTCTAAAGCGAGGCAACACAGCGGGGCGGCCATTTTGGAACCGCTGACCAGCTGACTGAAAATGGGGCCTTTGGCATTTTCCCCCAGCTGAGCGGCGGGAGCTTCAAAGGCCCGCCGCTCAGCTGGGAGAAAATGTCGGCAGTCGGTGGCTTTGGAAGGCCCCCGAAGCCGCCGCTGACCGCCGACATTTGCTTTCCGAGCTCTCAAAGGGCTCCCCCCCCCCCCGACATTGGAGAAAGCTCTTTGAGAGCTCGGAAGGCTCTCAGCGGCGGCGGGGGCAGGGTAAAAAAGCTATCGCTATGCGGATTCATCGTTAAACGGGCCACTCATTATACGAGGCACCACTGTAGACAAAAACTTTTGTAAACATTCTATGGCCCCAAAGCACAGTCATTAATGTGTAACTGAGGGAGAGAGGACAAAGTATTAGCATTTAGGCCTCTGCATTGCATGAAACAATTGATTTCATGGGCCTCAACCCAACTGGTATGCACAGCCAGGATGCTTCTACTGTCTGAAACAGTCTGCAGTCAGAAGTCCCTACCTCCACTGCTAGGTTTGAAATGTACTTGCATATTAGATATACTGGAATAGGTTTCCCAGAACATGTAAAACATGTAAAAGTTTTATAATCCACTACAAGATAAGTTATATATGTGCGGCTCCCTGCTTGCATATATTCTCATACTGACTTTAACAAAGTATTAAAATGCAGCATTAAAGTCATATGAACATTGCTCATTCTGATACTTTTTCAATTTAATACTCATACTATATTAATATGAAAAAGACTGATACAATAGATGTTATGTGCCATCAGATCAGAACCAATTTATCTGATAGCTCTTCCAATGTTAGTGAGATATTTAAGGAATGGTTTCACCCTTTCCACTCCCCCAGTGAGTTTCCATGGCTAAACAGGGATTTGAACTCTGATCTCCAGAATCCTGGTCAGTCCTTCTATTTACTACACCACACTGAGTATCTACAATACAATAGATAAAAGCAAAAGCATTTCAACAAAGCAACAAGACCCAACACCTTTACTGTTTCCCTCTGCCACAAACAGGTACTAACATGTTTTTCTTGACTTGCTCACTAGGTGCTCCCACTTTGGTTGTTAAAACCCCTACCCAGATTAAATCTTTGCCAGATGGCTGCACTAATCATGGCCAACAAGGACTTACAATTGGCAGGGTATTTTTGAATACTGGTTTGTTTGGGATGGTTTTTAAAGCAGATGCTTGTGCCTTCGTGTCTCCCTTATGGACTTCTCACAAGACTTTGGCCTGATCCACCTCTTCTATTCTTATGAAAACAGTACTTCTCTTTAAAAATTAACAAGGAAACCAAAACAAATCACAACTTTTTAAAAGATTCAGAGTCACAAATCTATCCCCTCTCTATCAAAGAAATGGGACAAAGGCAAATATAAGATGTTTCTATTCAGAGAGATTAGAGTGAACTCTGATGTGAGCTGAATAAAAAGTGGCCTTCTCTTGCTTTTTTCAAAATACTGTTTTCTTTTCTCAGCTACTCACTGATTGGTAACCACTTCAAACAAAGGGCACCGAAGCATCATTCAGAGGCTTATTTGAATAATAGCAGAAGTTCTCACCAAGGCAACTGATTGGACTTTGGTTCGCTGAAGTATCCTAAACTTTGTCAGTCAACTTGAAATACAATTTTTCTTCTCCTAAAAAGAAAACTATACAGCATATGCTTGTAATGAAGCCTCACTACTTATGTTAAAAAAATGAAATACAGTTGCAAGACGCTACAGTTTTGAGCAGAGGCATTCAACAGGTCCTCTTGCCTTCTTCTCTAGAGTACAATCCTTAGTCATTCTTGTATAACATGCAGTTTCACCTCCTAGTTAGTATTTTTCAAGTTTCTAATTTAAGCAACATTTTCCCATGTTAAAATGAAAGCCTGTGAACCCTGGCCTATTTGCAAAAGATTCCAAGGTTCACCCTGGTCATGCAATCTTGGTCGAGCTTCCAGATCTTCACAGTCATACCAGCTGAACTGGGAATAAGCCAAATACTACCAAGAGGCAACATGTTAGAGGAGGAACTTCAGATGTGGATGACAAATTGTTTTTCAGAGGAGGCTATCTGCAGTTACTGGCCTTGACATGGAGGAAATATTCCAAACTCTGAAGGAACTCTTGCATTTCCCAGAAGACTATCTGAAAATGACTGCCTTAAAAGTGGCACTTCAATGGTATTTTTCACACAGGCATTTAAATGTTTTTTTATTATTTAATTTCACCTCTTGATGCATTGTTATTCCTTTTCCATTTATGGGGCTCAGAAATCTTACTGCTTAGACATTGCTTCCAGAAAGAGATGTGCTGCACATTTTATTTGAAGAACAGAGGCAAGAAGGGGAGGGAGGTCTCTCCTTGCTATAAGTGGTCATAAAATGCTTTGGTTATCTATAATCATCATCATAATCAATTGTTACTTATGGTGAACCTTTTCAAGGTTTTCCAGGTAGAGAATACTCAGTAGCAGTTTACAATTTCCTTCTTCTAGGGGTATCCTGGGTCTGTGCAGTTTGCCCATGGCCACACAGGCTGACTGTACTCACAGGAGGCACAGTGGGGAACTCACAAACTCTGGATCTACAGCCAGATACCTAAACCACTGAGCTATCCAGCCAGCCTTGGTCATCTATGCTGACACTTAATATATACTGGCTATTGTCCATTAAAGCAGTAGCATAATACAATCCAGCCCTTTATGCTCCAGTTAGCAATGTAAACACATTTGGAACCCACCTGAACGCTGTAGGACTTACTTCCAAGCAATGAGTAAAAAATGGGTTGCACAGCATTTATAGGTTACATTCAGACCGAACTATGAATTGATAACACTTTTTGACCTTCGTTTATTTTCCCTAGCAAAAAAATTAAGTGATATTTTGTAAAATAATGAAGGAAGAAATCTTCATTAGTTATTAGAAATGGGAGATTTCTTTTAATTAGGAAGGAAGGCCTCAAGATAAACAGCTTTAGCTCTCTCCATTGCATTTATATCATCTGATAGCCAGCAAATCCAAGGTGAATTTTTATCTGCAGTGAGTATCTCCACACAAGCAAGAATACTGGAAAAATATGGGAGTTTGCTTCTATGAAGACCCTAAACATGATGAAAAGCAACTCAGAGTTGTTGGCTGTTGTGTGATCTAAAAAGATGGGAACGAGAAAAGAAAGATTCCTCGTTGTGTGTTCATTTCTCCTGTACTGATAATGCCTGAATAGGGACAGCATCTCAGAGTCATGATTATGTTAAATGTACCACTCAAGTACCTAATATACACCATCAAAGGAACCATGATTTCATTTATAACTTCAGCTGTTTTAAATTAAAGGGTCATGGAACTAACAGTTGAAAAATATATAATACATTGTACATTCTTACAATACTGAAATTGTTTTTGATAGATGATGATTCTATCACTACAACCTCAGAGGATGAATCTGGACTTTCACTATATAAAAACATACCTGGGGCACGTGAGTGACTAACTCTTTGCTTCTTATTTAGTGGCACACTAAGAATATACAAATATTTTTACTATTCAGATTTTCCCTACTGAAATATAGTGAATTCAATTTAGAAATTCCCTCTTTTTCAATATATATATATATGAATACAGTATATATATGTGTGTGTATGTGTGTGTATGTCATTAATGTATATATATACAGTATACCGTATGTCCATATATGTGTATATATGTGTGTGTGTATATATCCATTTTAGATTACTTTATTTTGTATTTTCAGACAATCACATGTCCTTGGATGAAGCACAGAATCATTTTAGAGTTATTACTATTAATGATACAGGAGCAGGAAAGCACTGGTGTGACAATGAAGTCAGAGCTCTAATAAATATATGGTCAGATGAAGAAATACAACAAATGCTTGAAGGAGCAACAAGAAATAAAGAGATATTTGAGGAAATTGCAAGAAGATTGATGAAAATTGGAATAGACAGAGATTGGAAGCAGTGCCGGACAAAGTATAAGAATCTGAAATACGAATACCGTGCATTGCAAAAAGAAAATGATCAGCATGGGAATGCAAAAAGGAAGATGAGGTTTTATGATGAGATTGACTGCATCTTGCGAAACCATCCTGCAGGTATACAAAACTCCACTGGGAGAAACTACTCTTGTTTTAAATACAGTAATATCTTGGTTTACAAACGCCTCGGTTAACATAGTTTTTGGTTTACTAACAGAAATCCATCGAAAATAATGCTTCGGTTTATGATTTATTTATTTATTTATTACTTATTGCAGTACAAAGGAAGTTTCCCCAGGATGCATTATGCCTGGAGGTTTATAGCGCCACCCCTATTCCTATGGCAAACCGCGTTTTGGTTTATGAATTTTTCACATTATATAATGTCCTGGAGAACGCTTTAAATTCGTAAACCAAGGTACTATTGTACTAAGGACACATCATGAACTGAAGCAGCAACAGTTTAAACATTACATGTAAAATATCTATGGAATATAGAAGTTAATGTAGGCTGAGAGGATGACACAAGATAATATTTAAATGTTGTATTTCAGAAGCAACATTCCTCAGTTGTTCAATCATGGCTGAAGAGTCAGGACTGGATCTGAGGATTATACATTCCCTCCATCCACCGCTTTCCTTCTAAACTTTACCCTACCCCTGCCAGACTGCATAACTCTTACAAAGCAGCAGTTTTGATCCATATGAGGCAAGGGTAGAATCCAAAATCTACAGTCAGACAACGCCTTTATTAGTGTTAATCAAAATATCTCAGAAGTATGCAGGCTTTCATCCTCTTCATCCAGTTAGATGACAAAAAAAGCAGGTTCAATGTTTGAACAATGAACACTCATGTTTAAAGCAAAGATGTAAGAGTCAACTGGATTCAGTTATGTTAAACACGTAACTTGCAATCCATAGCTGCCAATCAAGTTGTCAAATAGAAAAGTCTAAATTAATCATGGTCCCTTCTTTATCTAAATGTTGGGTGGAATGGAATTTTACTAAATTGTAACAGCAATTAACTCCAGTGTCATGATTGATGTAGCAGGATCATTGTGGCTGTGTAAGCCCTGGAAACATAATAATGATTTTTAAGAATAAATCTATGAAACTGCTCTTGAGATGATGAAACAAGTGATCGAGATGAAGTATTGCCCAGCATCCTATCTGTGCAAAGTTTGAGTATCTTGTTATGACTAACTGTAGCTAGCAGATGAGTTGACATGCATATTTTGGTTATCTGGCTGGTCACACTCCTGATTGCACAGTCAGTATGTGCCACAGTGCCTCATCAATTAGCTGCAATTAGCCCGTCAGGTTATGTAAATCTTACAAGGATATCAGTAGCATTCTGGCCATGGTAGAACTGAATGAGGCAAATTGAATGAGGCAAGGTCTCTATCATGAACTCCCAGGCATATGAGGAAGCTGAGAATCCTTCTTAAATATAGGCCAACAGCATTTTGCATTTTAACATCATAAATAATGCATAAAACAAAAAAGCTAATTTTCCTAAAATATCTACTCAGAAGTAGCAACTTATTGGTGGAGGGCTTCAGGTTAACTACCCAGAGATAGCAACGTATTGGTGTAGTCTATTATTCGAATGCATCTAATAACATTGTCATGGAATACCTTTTTCTTTTCAAAGAGACAGCCACAGAAGTTGTCACTGATACAATACCAATGAAGATCAAGAGAAAGTCAGCTGAAGATGGTAAGAATTTATTTTTGCTGTCATGTTCCACGATTGCATTACATTGTAATAAATCAGGAACATTTTCTTATCAAGCAAGCTAGACAAATTCCTCATGCGTTGACCATCTCTTCAGTTGTATGTCTTGTGAAAGAATCAAAGCTCATACAACAAAACTGAACAGAACTATTATATCATGTTACAAGATTTACTTCAGCATCAGTTACCACAGACAACTCCCTCAGATGGTATCTGAGTGATAGATACTGAGACTGAGGAAGTGGAATGGAATCCATGAAAGCTTGTACTGAAATAACTTTTCTAGTCCTTGAGCAGTCAGTTCTTCCATTTTCATTTTTGTTTTTGTTCTACACGCTGAAAAACTAACATAGGCAACACTCTGAAAAGAATAAAAACATAAATGGAAAGCAAGGATGAATCCAGAGACGGACCTTCTGCAAAGACAGGTAGCAGTGGATGGCACTAGGAGGGAGTAAGTTGTTCGGGGTAGGTGTACTGAGGCTGGATTGGTAATTTTGTTACATGAAATCCTAACAGTGCAGAGAACAGCACACTTGCCCATCAATCTTCTCCTGCTTATCTTTGTTGCTTTCTAAATTACTATAAGCCTTCCACAGGCAACATAACTTGCTTCATGCAGTTTTCTCCAATCTGGGGCCACAGAGATGTACCAACAGTCCTTCGACTAATCACAGCTGGTCATTTATTCTCAGGGAGATGGGTATTACAGGAAATGTAATGATTTCCATTACATGAAACTTTGTATCATAAAATGACAGGACAACATAGCAGCAGAAGGGAACCATGAGATATACACACATGTCGAAAAAAATCTTGGGGGTGGGAAGGGACAATACTAGCCAATAAAGAATTAAACACATATGCCAGCATACTAGAACAAATCACTCTCATTAGTTTATAAAGCTGTATCGTCCTTAAAATGGATTTCCTCCCCACAGAACCCTCACCAATTCAGTTTAAGAAACGTGCATCTGAAAATATTGCAGCCCAGTTACAAAGAAACATATCGGACAGTGTGCATTCAGTAATCAAGAACCAAAGGACACTGCTGGAAAGATTTTACAAACAAGAAGAAAATCAGGATACCAGTAGAATACAGCTGAATAATGTCCTCCCTGCTGTGGAACAGGTTGGTTTAATTTTTTGTTTTGTTTCACTATGATTATTGTATACAGGAAAGTAAAATAATCTCAAGATTAATTTACTGAAAGGAATCTTAGCCAATTAATTCCCATGCCACACCTACATGTTGTTTAAATGCTTTGTGTTATTAAATCTGCTGCCAAATAACTTGGGAAATTATTTCAGTATTTAGTATACGGTACTTGGGCTGTTATCTTGTACTCATTTACTTGGAAGTAACCGCACTGAAATCATGGGCCTAATCAATCTGAACAGACAGCACTAACTGCATAGCTTTACACGCTACAACAGCTTAGCTTTATGCTACAATAGTTTTGTAATACTTTAGTGCCACAGGACTGCTAATTTCACCTTTAATTATGTGACCCATCCTCATCTGGAAAGGAGTTTCATTGAACATTCACAATATATTTGGACAAAAGTATGTGGCTCATTTAATAAACTGAAATATACTTATTTCAGTGTGAGTTTTATGTACTATAAAATAACAGAACAAGTGGTTCAATATTTCACTCTCTCCAGAACCGGTTATTTTTTGCTGGCATGATTTCATTTGGGTTGTACAGATGCCTACTACTTGTTCTGTTATTTACTGTTCTAGTTGTTTCTTGTGGTAGGCTCTACTTGGATACCCTTCCTGCTCAGTCAATTTTTTGTTTCACTTCACTGAGTATATATTGTATTTTAAGAAATGGTTTAGGTAAATCCTCAAGACCTGAGGATTCTGAGTCTCTGCCTTGTGGATCTGAGCAGATACAGTGGTGTGGAAAAGCTTAGCTGTCGACAATAAATCCTGTGGTGTCCTATGGGTGGAAGCTAGAGACATGTAAGCATGTGTAACATTCATTGGGTTTTTGACTTAATGTGGTACTCATAAGTTGACTTTCTAACTGCAGAGGGGAGTCCAGAAAGTATATCTGTTACGTAGTCTGATGCAGGTTCAGGTTAATACTAGGATGAGAATCAATGTACTGTAGCTGAATTTCTGAATTTGTTCCTTCCCTTGAGTCTAAATGATAAAGATGTCTAAGGTGCTACATACTAAAACAAGCGACTCTTACACCTCCTGCAAAATATATTTCGAAATAATATATAGCAGGGATTGAGTCATAGATGGATTTCAACTATATCTTTAAAATTTCCAGATTTAATCATATTTGGAAACACCCTCTTTAAATTAATAGGGCTTCAGTTTTAGTCATTAAGTCGTATCCGACTCTTTGTGACCCCATGGACCAGAGCACGCCAGGCCCTCCTGTCGTCCACTGCCTCCTGGAGTTTGATCAAATTCATGTTGGCAGCTTCAATGACACTGTCCAGCCATTTCATCCTCTGTCGTCCCCTTCTCCTCTTGCCCACACACTTTCCCAACATCAGGGGCTTTTTCAGGGAGTCGTCTCTTCTCATGAGATGGCCAAAGTATTGGAGCCTCAGCTTCAGGATCTGTCCTTCCAGTGAACACTCAGGGTTGATTTCCTTTAGAATGGATAGATTTGATCTCCTTGCAGTCCAGGGGACTCTCAAGAGTCTCCTCCAGCACCCAATTCAAAAGCATCAATTCTTCAGCGGTCAGCCTTCTTTATGGTCCAACTCTCACTTCCATACATTCCTAATGGAAAAATCATAGCTTTGACTATGCGGACCTTTGTCGGCAAGGTGATGTCTCTGCTTTTTAAGATGCTGTCTAGGTTTGTCATCGCTTTCCTCCCAAGAAGCAGGTGTCTTATTTCATGGCTGCTGTCACCATCTGCAGTGATCATGGAGCCCAAGAAAGTAAAATCTATCACTGCCTCCATATCTTCCCCTTTTATTTGCCAGGAGGTGATGGACCAGTGTCCATGATTTTAGTTTTTGTGATGTTGAGCTTCAGACCATTTTTTGTGCTCTCCTCTTTCATCCTCATTAAGAGGTGCTTTAATTCCTCCTCATTTTATGCCATCAGAGTGGTATCATCTGCATATCGGAGGTTGTTGATATTTCTTCTGGCAATCTTAATTCCACCTTGGGATTCATCCAGTCCTGCCTTTTGCATGATGTATTCTGCATATAAGTTAAATAAGCTGGGGGACAATATACAGTACAGCCTTGTCATACTCCTTTCCCAATTTTGAACCAAGCACTTGTTCCATATCCAGTTCTAGCTGTTGCTTCCTGTCCAACATATAGGTTTCTCAGAAGATAGGTAAGATTTCTTTAGCAACTTGCCATTGTTTGTTGTGGTCCACACAGTCAAAGGCTTTTGCATAGTCAATGAAGCAGAAGTAGATGTTTTTCTGGAACTCTCTGGCTTTCTCCATAATCCAGCGCATGTTAGCAATTTGGTCTCTTTCGTTCCTTTAGCCCAGGCTTGTCCAACATGTGGACCGAGGCCCGCATGCGGCCCAGGTCAGCTCATAATGCAGCCCATTCCATTTTTTTTTATTTTAAAAGCAATTCCAAAGTTTCAAGTTACACTGCCAGCACTTGCGGCCGGAATGCGGCTGGGGCATGTCACAACGGTAGGGGGGGAGAGAGGGAAGGAAAGAGCGGGAGGTGGGGGGAGAGGGTGGTTGTGGGACTGCATTGGGCCATCCCCATCAACAGGTGGATCCCCTCCCAGCCCCATAAAGCCACGGAGTCGAAGCTGGTAGCCTCTGCTATCTGAGATCACAGCTGCCGGTAAGCACGCTTGGAGCGGGGCTGCGGAGGATGGCTAGGGCTGTCCCCCCATGCGGCCCAAACCAAATTTATGTGCGGCCCAAACCAAATTTTCATCTTCTAATGTGGCCCAGGGAAGGTGAAAGGTTGGACACCCCTGCTTTAGCCCTTCGAAATCCAGCTTGTACTTCTGGGAGTTCTTGGTACTCATACTGCTGAAGCCGACTTTGTAGGATTTTGAGCATAACCTTGCTAGCGTGTGAAATGAGTGCAATTGTATGGTAGTTGGAGCATTTTTTGACAGTGCCCTTCTTTGGGATTGGGATGTAGACTGATCTTTTCCACTCCTATGTCCCCTGGTGAATTTTCCAAACTTGCTGTCATATTGAGTTTAGCACCTTAACAGTGTCATCTTTTAAGATTTCAAATAATTTGATTGGAATGCCATCACCTCCACTGGCCTTGTTGTTAGCCATGCTTTCTAAGGCCCACTTGACTTCACTCTCCAGGATGTCTGGCTCAAGGCCAGCAATCACACTATCTGGGTTGTCCAGGACATCCAGATTTTTCTGGTATAATTCCTCTGTGTATTCGTGCCACCTCTTCTTGATGTCTTCTGCTTCTGTGAGGTCGCTGCCTTTTTTGTCCTTTATCATGTCCATCTTTGCACAAAATGGTCCTTTAATATCTCCAATTCTCTTGAACAGATTTCTGGTTTTTCCCTTTCTGTTATTTTCATCTATTTCTTTGCACTGTTCATTTAAGAAGGGTCTCTTGTCTGTCCTTGTTATTCTTTGGAAGTCTGCATTCCATTTTCTGTAACTTTCCCTATTTCCCTTGCATTTTGTTTCCCTTCTCTTCTCTGCTACTTGTAAGGCCTCATTGGAGAGCCACTTTGCTTTCCTGCATTTCCTTTTCTTTGGGATGGTTTTTGTTGCTGCCTCCTGTACAATGTTACGAGCCTCCATCCATAGTTCTTCAGGCATTCTGTCCACCAAATCAAGTTCCTTAAATCTGTTCTTCACTTCCACTATTATATTCATAGGGATTTGGTTTCGATTATACTTGCCCAGCCCAGTGGTTTTTCCTACTTTCTTCAGTTTAAGCTTGAATTTTGCTATAAGAAGCTGATGATCAGAGCCACCATCAGCTCCAGGTCTTGTTTTTGCTGACTGTATATAGCTTCTCCATCTTTGGCTGCAGAGAACATAATCAATCTGATTTCGGTATTGCCCATCTGGTGATGTCCATGTGTAGAGTTGCCTCCTCTGTTATTAGAAAGGAGTATCTGTGATGACCTGCTTGTTCTCTTGACAAAACTCTGTTAGCCTTTGCCCTGCTTCGTTTTGTACTCCAAGGCCAAACCTACCTGTTGTTCCTTTTATCTCTCAACTCCCTACTTTAGCATTCCAGTCCCCTATAATAACAAATTTCTTTGGTGTCAGTTCTAAAAAGTATTGTACATCTTTACAGAACTGGTCAATTTCAGCCCCTTTAGCATCGGTGGTTGGTGCATAAACTTGGATTGCTGTGATGTTGAAAGGTCTGCCTTGGATTCATATTGAAATCCTTCTATCATTTTTCAGATTGTATCCCAGTACAGCTTTTCCCACTCTTGTTGACTATGAGGGCTACTCTATTTCTTCTACAGGATTCTTGCCCACAATAGTAGATATGGTAATTGTCTGAATTGAATTCGCCCATTCCCGTCCATGTTAGTTCACTGACGCCCAGGATGTCAATGTTTATTCTTGCCATCTCCTGTTTGACCACATCCAGCTTACCAAGGTTCATAGCTCTTACATTCCAGGTTGCTATGCAGTAGTTTTATTTACAGCATCAGACTTTCCTTTCATTTCCATGTGCGTCCACAGCTGAGCGTCCTTTCGGCTTTGGTCCAACCACTTCATTAGCTCTGGAGCTACTTGTACTTGTCCTCCGCTCTTCCTCAGTTGCATGTTGGACACTTTCCAACTTGAGGAGCTCATCTTCCAGCATCATATCTTTTAGCTTTTATTTCTGTCAATTGAGTTTTCTTGGCAAAGATACTGGAGTGGCTTGCCAGTTCCTGCTCCAGGTGGATCACGTTTAGTCAGAACTCTCCACTATGACCTGTCCATCTTGGGTGGCCATGCATGGCCTAGCCCATAGCTTCTCTGAATTACTTAAGCCCCTTTGCCACAAAAAGGTAGCAATCTATGAAGGGGTGATTTTTTATGGGTCTACCCCAAATAAAATTAAGTCTAAATCCAATCCACCATTTCCAATTCAATTTTAAACTTAAACAAGTATACTGAAATTTTCTTCTAAAGTGAGGTATCACTATAATCACCTTTCACCATTTAAACA